TTGATGACTAATTGATGAGTGGGTGACCAACTCTTGACTTGGTGACAATCCTTATCTTCTCTTATCTGCCCAAAACGTCATTGATAACGTCAAAATTGGAACCACTTGAAAACATGAAAGTTGTAGCCAATTGTCTCAGCTTTCTTGTGTAAAAATGTCAGCTCATTTGGACTTCTAGAACTCCAGATATGACCAAAATACTAAACAGTGCTCGGGCTAGAGGACAGATTCGGGCTTCTTTGTTGTTGCTACAATTTGGACTTGAAAATGACATTTTTAGATCTTGGGCTCCATATGAAAGTTGTAGGCCTATGTCTTACCTTTCCATCCATATAAATTAGACCTAAACCTGAGATCTATAGCTTCAGATATGACCTAATTACCGAACAGTGTTCCGATTTGGATTGCACCGACATCTATTTTCTAATTTTGGTCATCTTTTTGCCCTTGCAATTTAAGTTCTTAAAGTCATCAATCAATCCTTTCATTTATGTGATAGGCCTGCATTTAAAATGAACATTTACCATAAATTAAAGGTATCTTATATTATTAGATATATTATTATAAAACATGCTTTCGTTAAGGAGTTATTGATACTTCAAGTGCAAAATGATGATATAAAACCTTGATAAAAAATGCACTTTTAAGTACTAATCACACCCCCCCCAACTAGCTTATTACTAGTCCCTAGTAATCAAAGCGTTACAATAGAAAAACAATTTGCAAATTCCACAAAGCAAGATATACATCATTTAACTTCCATTAATCTATCCAGATAAACAAACTCTCGTTAAATTTATATACCTGCTCAATACCTCTTAACAAGATATTCATAAACCTTTCTTTTGTGCTCAATGTATCAACACATAATTATAGGGCTTTTCTTGGAAGAAAACAAAATTTTTATTCTAATGTTTAAGGTTAACTTCCTTGGGTTGAAATTATTATTTTTGTCTCTTTTTTTTTAAATATATATACATATAATTTAAAAACATCATGCATCTTTAACCCATGTAACGAGCTTTCAGCTAATGACTCCCAGACCAGTTGGTCTTAGGGCATTAGGTGTAAGACACCCCTACGAGCTTAGTAACTCGGGTCGCAGATACTGATATGTAGATAGTGCAATGTTTGATTTCCTTAAGCTTTTCTCCTCAACCCATGAACAAGCGTTGGGCCAATAGCTCCCAAGTCAGTTGACTTGAGGGTATTAGGTGTTAAAACACCCCTTCGGGCTTAATTGCTTAGGTTAGGGAGGCTACGAAACCAAACTTATCTACATTTTTATTATTATCATTTTTTTTTCTTTTTTTTTTTATTATTTTTTTCTTTTTTTTTTAATTATATACAATCCCTTTTCCTTAGTTGTTACCTTTAACAAAAGAACATAAATAATGTAATAATCCAATATGCAACCCACAATCATATGTTAAAGTGTGTGTGTGTGTAAATTAAGGTTTAAGAATACATGTTAAATAAGTATATGAGCAGAATTAAGTGATAATAATGCGAGAGTTTGTAAACTTGAATATTTCAAGAAGTATTATAATAGATCTTGTTAAAAATGGTAACTAAGATACGTCTCAAGAGTCACTTTAACAAAAGAGCTCCTTTACTCTGCCATCCTAGTAACAACAATTATGCACACGCTTTATGAAATAAAAAATAATTTTTTTTTATCAACTAATACCCTCTCCCCCCAACCAAAACGAGACATTGTCCTCAATGTTTAAAGGTAGAAAGATAGAGTATAGAAGATATCACCTGAAATAATGAACACTGACAAACCTGAAACACACTAAAACAAAAATAAGAAATAACAAAACACAATAATAAAACCAAAAGACACAAAAATTCACAAATGAAGGCTCAAATCCAATCTAAGCTTTTTACGGCTTCCCGTAGATGACCAATTTATGCGACTCATGGAAGGATCAATCACAGGAATGAAAGATTGTAGTTGGTCAATCAATTGTTCAGCAGTAGCAGCAGAGATTATGATTTGTCGTGCAGAAGATGTTAGAAATTCCTGTTCCACAGCATGATCAAGAAAAGACAACAACTTATCATAATAACCATTAACATTTAACAAACCTATGGGTTTATGGTGAATGTGCAATTGAGCCCAAGAGGAAATATGAAAGATCTCTTCCAATGTGCCTAGACCACCTGGTAAAGCAATGAAAGCATCAGCATGGTTAAACATTGCATTCATTCGAGCCGACATTGTGGAGACCTGAAGTTCCTCTCCAATTGTTTTTCCAATGATGTCCCCTTGTGCCAAAGCTTCAGGGACAACCCCCAAAACTTGACTACCTCCTAAAAATGCAGCTATTGACACACCTCCCATTAACCCAAGACTGCCTCCCCCATACACTAAATGAATCTTTCTCTCAGCTAGCACCTAACCAAGATGATTTGCTGATTCTAAAAACTCCTTTTCTTTCCCAGGACTAGATCCACCGAAAACACAAATATTTCTTATTTGATGACTTGAGGAACTTGCCATTTCTACACACTTCTGTATTTGTTAAATGTATGGGTTGAGTAGAAATGAAAGGAAGGAAAAGAGGGTTTTATAGATGAGAAAGTAGAAAGGCAATCATAACATCTATATGTAGGCCAGCTAGAGTCTCACACACTCTCTCTCTCTTTTTATTTATTTATTTACTTTTGAAAAAAAACATGTGTATGTACAGGTAGTTGTGATTGTGGCTCACATCTTCCCTTGGTTTTACGTCCAAGAACGGCTTAAACGCCCTCTATGGGTCGGGGATAGGCTTCCCATCCAGTTTTCTTAAAAACTGGCAAACAGGGTCTTTTTTAGTCAGATTCCCAAGACTAAGTCGATCATGTTCTTTATGAAATAGTGGCCATAAATCATGAATTGCACGATGCACATCTCCACTAGGATGCGTCTCAAGAGTCAATAGAAGATTATCTAAAGACTCCTTACTCAGGCCATCCTTAATGAATTGTATTTTATCTTCACGGTTTATAGATACCATTCCTAAAGAACGACATTGTGTATTACAAGTCCATCTAGCACATCGATGACAGACTTCTAGTCGTTTTGCACGACGTTTCTTTGCAAAAGTGCTTTTACCTGTTCCAGGCATGTGTGAAATAAAGAAATTAGAGGACTCACCTGATAATCGGACCTTTGCTTCAATCAACCAACGAATATCTTCAGGAATTCCATGATTCATTAACAATCTCAATCTTGCACATCTAGCACGGTAAATTTTTGTAATCGCATTCTGAGGCAGAGCGGGAAAATACTTTTTCAATTTTTCAAGATTAGTGTCCATTTTCAAATGAGAATTAGAAGAGAGATTCAAAGAATTGCACAAATATATACACAAATATCAGTTATTGTGGGAAACTGAAAGAACCGACTTAAGTCACGGAGTACCGTTATCCGCCATTTGACCGGGGTGAGAGAAACTAGCAAAAATCACTCAAAAAGAAACACAAAAACAATGTGAGAAAAACAAAATAATCAACCTTTATCTACAAGATCATTCAAACCAGCTGATTCATTTTCACTAGGAAAATTATCAAAGTAAGCTTTCAAACGATGTCCATTTTCCTTAAAATCATTGTCATTCATTGAATTCTCAATATCACAGGCCCCATAAGGATTGGTCCATCTTAATCTTAGCTCTTTAGGGAATGCATAGAGTTGAGAATCATAAAACAAAACTTTTTGACCAGTGTCAATTTTTTGACAATTTTCACAAGTTTTGCAGAATGCATGTGTGTCCTTGAACATGGTGGGCCAATAAAATCCATTTTGAAAGATTTTTGCAGCAGTCTTTTTTGACGAGAAATAACTTCCACATGCTTCAGAATGACAAAGTTTAATGACACTACTTACCTCATTGTCGGGAATGAATCTTTGAAATATTTGATCAGGACAATATTTGAATAAGTTAGGGTCATCACAATAAAAGCTCTTCACTTCGTTCAAAAACTTTTCTTTGTCTTGGGTACTCCAATCAGCTAGCAAATCTCCTAAAGCAAGAAAATTAATATTTTTATCATACCAAGGCATTGAACTAAGAGAAAGTAAGGATTTGTTAGGAAAGTAATCATCGATTGGTGTGATGTCAGATGTCGAATCTGTTGTCACTGTTGACAAAAGATTCGCATCAACATTTTCGGTGCTTGTTTCATTCGTGATTTCTTCCTCAGAATAAACCATTTGCAAATCTTCAGTTTCATCCAATTCATTTTTACTTAAAGTAGATTCAAGTTGATCATAAACTAATTCATCAATATGATCTACTTCTTGTAAATCATTATCATCTCCAGGTTGCTTGCAAATGTTGAAAATATTCATCTCCAATGTCAGACTGATAGAACACCCTTCTGAAGTACAGTTTTAGCTGGGGGGGTGTGCTTTGGAAGTAAATTTCTCTTTGGGCTTCTAACATCTTGAGTTTCCATGTTAGGGAAACAACTTGATGTGTAAATGGGTGCTAATGTGCCTAACACCTGGCACATTTCTATTAATGATGACATAGGTGGCCGTAGTGTATGATGAAAGAGCTATCCTAGTTCTTAGTTTCTGTTTGTGCTTTGTCCTTATATTACATGCACTATGCAAAGGAACCACCCAAGTCTGGAAAGCTAGATCACATTGAAGGTTCATTTTGTATGCAGTTAGAGATTGAAAAGTTGAAGATAATAATGCTTTAGCCATGTGTAACTGTCCAATATTGTATGTTAGACCCACATGGCTTCTTGAATAGAGACTCGTGGAAAAAAATGTGACAATAAAATTTTTTTGGCAATGTGAGATGTAATTTTGTAAATGTGGAGGCGAGGAAAGGGTAAAGTGAAGGTTTATTCTTGCTATCTAAAATGAAAGTCAAGTTTTTTCTTTTACATACAAGAGATTTATTGCATCAAGATTTGGTAATGTGTAGATTTTTGAAACTATAGAAGTTGTTTTGGAGTTCATAAATGAGAACTATTTAAGTATGATTGATCTATACAACATGTAGGAAGTGCTGGTGATGTTTTGGAAGATGATCCTGTTGGAAGGCTGAAAGTTTTTGTCTATGAACTTCCAAGAAAATACAATAAAAAGATACTGCAAAAGGACCCAAGATGCCTCACCCACATGTTCGCAGCGGAGATCTTTATGCATCGGTTTCTATTATCTAGCCCTGTTAGAACCCTCAATCCCGATGAAGCTGATTGGTTTTATACTCCTGTATATACAACCTGTGATTTGACAGCAAATGGCCTTCCTTTGCCTTTCAAATCACCACGAATGATGAGAAGTGCTATACAGCTTATTTCTTCAAACTGGCCTTATTGGAATCGGACGGAAGGTGCTGACCACTTTTTTGTAGTGCCACACGACTTTGGAGCATGCTTCCATTATCAAGTGAGTAAACCTTTTTCTTTTTTCATTACCTTTACTTGTTTCCCTCAGATTCTTTTGACAATCTTTTTCAATGCATTTGGATTTTTGAATCAATTGACCTGAATTGTGGTTTTCTGAAGAGCTAATGGGGTTTCAATCTTTCTGTTATATCTAATTGCATATGTATATTAGTAATAAATTGTTGTGCTCTGGCAATTCTTTTTATTGCCATCAACTCTTATTTTATGTTCCTCTGTTCTTCATGATTTTTGCAGGAAGAGAAGGCTATTGAAAGAGGAATTCTTCCCTTGCTCCAACGTGCCACCTTGGTGCAAACTTTTGGACAAAGAAATCATGTTTGCTTAAAAGATGGTTCCATTACTGTTCCTCCATATGCTCCTCCACAGAAAATGCAAACCCACCTGATTCCTGAGAAAACTCCTAGGTCAATTTTTGTGTACTTCAGAGGCTTGTTTTATGATGTAGGAAATGACCCAGAAGGTGGCTATTATGCAAGGTAATTCCATGTTCAATAAAGCAATTAGATCGATTATTTCTACTCTTTTCCATAGAATGTGAAGGCTTACGTCTATTTTTGAACAATGCCAGCAGAAATGAAACTAGGTAGGGTATGTATGGGTTGTGAAACTAGAATCATGATCCTTTCATGTATTTCAATTAGACTGAAAGAAGTCAAATACATGGACTTCTTCATTTCAATTCTAAGCTGAGTGGAAGAGAAAGAATACATGTCATGTTTTAGCAATGATCCTTTATATGATAGAGGCATAAATGGAGATCGCTGATCAATTTGTTTCTGAGTTTACAGAGGTGCTAGAGCAGCGGTCTGGGAGAACTTCAAAGACAATCCACTTTTTGACATTTCCACGGAGCACCCAGCAACGTATTACGAAGATATGCAGCGGGCTGTTTTCTGTTTGTGTCCCCTTGGCTGGGCCCCATGGAGTCCAAGATTGGTTGAAGCAGTGATATTTGGCTGTATCCCTGTTATTATAGCAGATGACATTGTTTTACCCTTTGCTGATGCAATCCCATGGGAAGAAATTGGGGTGTATGTAGATGAGGAAGATGTTCCAAATTTGGACACCATACTCACTTCCATTCCACCTGAAGTAATATTGAGGAAGCAGAGACTGCTAGCTAACCCTTCAATGAAGCAGGCTATGCTATTCCCACAACCTGCTCAACCAGGAGATGCTTTCCATCAAGTATTGAATGGACTTGCACGAAAATTGCCTCATGATAGAAGTGTTTACCTGAGGCCTGGTGAGAAGATCTTAAACTGGACTGCAGGTCCAGTTGGTGACCTGAAACCTTGGTAGCAGCTATAACAGGATGCTCCTTGAAGAGATTCTTAGCAGCCTCTCCGGCAGTCCTTCCAACGAAGCTGGTTTAATCAAGGCGGCTGTTTACCTAAAGTGTAAATCTTGGTTTTTCACTTTAATATGTCAGATTAAGCATCCATTATGTATGGTCCAGTAGTGTTAGTCGTATTCTGCCTTGGGTGAAGAAACCGTAAATGGGGTCTGCAACGTGTTCTGATCCCGTTGATTGACAACCTCACTGTTGCATATCACCCATGCTCTGAAACAAAGCTTAAATTGTCATTAGGGTTTCTGATTGATGCCAACAATAAAAGTTTTAAAACTAAAGAAAGTCAGACAGGGGAAAGAAATATAATTATGTTAAAGTAGGACAAAACTAAGAAAGGAAGAAATAAACAAACATATCCCTCAAGAAATGTAGTTAAATTTTTATTTCCTTTGTTAATTAAAAAGAAATGGTGTCTATAAATAAATAAGAGATTAAAAAAGTGAAATTATAGTTTTTTCCATTGTTAATTAAAAAATTAGCATCCATAAATAAAGAAGAGATTTTTTATATTTTTTAAATCAATTTTAATTTTCTTTGAAATTGGAATCAACACTACAAAGCATAGTAGCAAGTTTTATTTTTGCATTATAAGTTGTTTTTTAAATGATTTTTAAATTGTTTTTCATCTGATAAGGTATTAAATTAATGTTTTTTGAATAATTTTAATATATTAATATAAAAAATATTATTATTTTAATATTCTTTCAATTAAAAAATATTTTTAAAGCAACAGCATCAAACCTTGTAAGATGTGTTGATTGGAAATTTTTAGTTCATCTTTCTCGAATTAAAATAATGTTGTTAGAATGGACATTTCCCTTCGGGTATTTTGTTTTTATCTTCATTTGAGGAAGAAAGGGGGTAAAAAAGAGCTAATTGTCCAATGGTGAATTTGAGCAGAACTGTAATCTTCGCCTGAATTCAAAACTTGAAAAGAACATAGAAAGCTTACAGGTATCACACTGTCCCATAACATTGTGTTACAACAAGGATGAGGAAAAGCCCAAATGAGGTGGGTAGAAGGAGCTTGCTGGTGTGGGGAGCATGAAAGCCACGCTTCCGCTTGTTCTCCAAACTTCGTATTCTCCTACACTATCTACCTCCATTCTTTATACAACTCACTCGTCATCACTTATTTTTTCTCTTCACTGAGAAGAGGAGAAAGTCCTGAAAAAAAGGCCTTGCATAGTTGCATGCACACACGAGGCTTCCAGCCACAAAAACATCACCATCAACTTGTCTTTTACATCTTACAGGCAACAATGTTGGCCTTAGAGGACCAACTGATCGTTTTGCTCTAAAATCATCTTTCTTTTCTCCTTCACTTCACATCTTGATTACTTCTTATAAGCATCAGCATCAGCCCCTTGCACCTGCTGCTCCAAGATTCTCCATGCGTTGTGCAGCCAAGCAAGCCTACATTTGTAGAGATTGCGGGTATTACCACCCCCCCCCCCCCCCT